ACCGTTGACTTCTGGCGTTGACTGTTGACTTTCGGCGTTGACTCCGGTGTTGACCGTTGCCTTCTGTCGTTGACCCGTTGACCCCTAGTATGCATTATGTATGAAGTAAATATGCATACAGTACTATGCACTTAATATGAACTAAATATGCATAAGATATTAATTATACATGTCATCCTTATGAACTAAATATGCACTAATAATATCAACTATGTATGCACTGTTTGTGTACTAAATATGCACATTTTACTAACGAAATATGTATTATGAATGAACTAAATATGCAACGAATATATGTAATAAAATATAAATTTTATACAATTAAATTAATATAATAATTAATTATTTTTATTATATAATTAATTTAATTTTAAATTGATTAATATAAGTTATTGATCTACACAAATAAATTGTTATAATTGTGTTATCACCCAACTCGGTAATCCAAAGTTAGTAGCCTCGAACTGTGTGTTAAATGGATTATTACCAGCAATGACATGGCCAACAGTTATCCCGGTCCGCATACCGAACCGGCCAAGCTATAGAAGACCGAGGTGATCCTCACCACCGAGGTCATCCCAGAACCGAAGTCGCTATGAACCGAGGTCACCACCTCCTAAGCTGGTGACAAGGCGCGTACATGCCACCTTCACAAACCACGAGATCAAGTGGGACCCGCTGACAATGCCGCCCCAACAAAAGTAGCTTTATAAGAAAAGCAATGCACAAATCCCGATATGTATCCCAAAAAGTTACTATAAATAGCAAACTCCTGCTACTTGTACGGGGATCCCCGAATCGAAATTTTGACCATGAAACACGAAACAGCTCACAGAAGCTTTTCACCTCGGTTCACCTCGGACCGGGGCCATTGTTGAGTTTTTAATACATGTCTTATGTTCAAATTATCAACAACACTTAAATAAACCTACTTTCAAAGCATTGTTAACCATCACATAACAACAGTTTGGCGCTAGAAGGAGGGTCTCATAAGTTATTTGAGGTTAATCTTCAACCCTTGGCACTTTAGCCACAGCAACCACTGCAAATATGTCTCATTCGGATCATCATGGACATACGTCGCGTGAAGGACACAGTCGCAGCAATCACTCCGCTAGACGTCCCGCGGATATACCCCACCTACCAGATTACACCACTCTATTTCAAAATCCGGAGTTCGCACGTGGGTTTGCTGCCTTAATGGCTCAAACTGCTCCCGGGATGTCAACGACGGCGCCAGGACAATCTATCATCCCTACTACCCCTGCAAACCCGAGAAATCCGTCTAAACTGTTGTTATGTGATGGTTAACAACGCTTTGAAAGTAGGTTTATTTAAGTGTTGTTGATAATTTAACGTAAGACATGTACTAAAAACTCAACAATAGCCCCGGTCCGAGGTAAACCGAGTTGAAAAGCTTTTGTGAGCTGTTTCGTGTTTCATGGTCAAAATTTCGATTCGGGGATCCCCGTACAAGTAGCAGGAGTTTGCTATTTATAGTAACTTTTTGGGATACATATTGGGATTTGTGCATTGCTTTTTTCATAAAGCTACTTTTGTTGAGGCGGCATTGTCAGCGGGTCCTACTTGATCTCATGGTTTGTGAAGGTGGCGTGTAGGCGCCTTGTCACCAGCTTAGGAGGTGGTGACCTCGGTTCATAGCAACTTTAGTTCTGGGATGACCTCGGTGGTGAGGATCACCTCGGTCTTCTATAGCTTGGCCGGTTCGGTATGCGGACCAGGATAACTGTTGGCAATGTCATTGCTGGTAATAATCCATTTAACACGCAGTTCGAGGCTACTAACTTTGGATTACCGAGTTGGGTGATAACAAATTGGATCTCAAATAAACTAGGTATGCATTGTTCATGAACTAAATATGCATTTCGTAAGAACTAAATATGTATCATGAATTAACTAAATATGCATCATAAATTAATATATACGCATTATTATATATTTAATTTAATTATAACAAGTATGCATTTCATATTAACTAAATATGCTTCATAAATTAACTAAATATGCATCGGAAATTAACTAAATATGCATCATAAATTACCTATATAAAATGTACATTTTATTGCATATTTTCACTGCATATTTAGTTCATTCATGATGCATATTAAGTTCATAACAAATGCATATTTAGTTAATAACAGGTGCATACTTAGTTGATATTATTGGTGCATATTTAGTTCATAAGGACTGCATGTGTAATTCATACCCCATGCATATTTAGTTCACATAAAATGCATTGTACTGGATGCATATTTACTCCATACATACTGCATACCAGGGGCAACAGGTCAGCGCGGAAGTCAACGGTCCACGCTGGAGTCAACGTTAGAAGTCAACGGTCAACGCTGGAACTCAACGATTTTCGTCGGAAGTCAACGCCGAAGTCAACTAATAATTATTTTATTATTTAATTAATGTATATTTTAATTCATTTTTATCTAGACAAAATCAGTGGCTAAGGTTGAGTCTCACATACTCATTTTAAGGAGTTGACTCATTGGATCCACCCCTACATATATATATACTAAAAATATATATAAAAGTGGCCCTGGGTAACAAGAGGCCCTGGGCAGTCGCCCGACCTGCCCTAGTCAAAACACAGGAGAAAAATGAAAAAAAAAATATCTTTATAGAGTAACGCAGTCGGTCGCGTGGATTTGTGGGAGCACGGTTTTGCTATGAAGCCATCGAATGACTCGGCTTATAGAGTCATCCATTGTTATTCACAAATGATGTATTTGTTACACAACTTATGTTTTGTATTACAACGGGAACCTATGAACTGACTGAAGTGTTCAGTTCGTACAAAAGAACTAAAACAAA